ATGAACAATACACTATGCCTAACCTTCAAAACCTTTTCATTGCCACAGAAATAGCCTGTTCGCCCTTATCGAGCCACCCTATTAGCAGTCACAAGCTTTGATTAAGTAAGCTTAAAGTGGGGCTAGAAGAGTCAACCAATAGAGTTGAAGGGAACATGTGCATAGTATTCAAAACTGTTTCATTGTCACATATACCCTTGTCACCCCTTTTGGGCCACAGTTATAAGCACCCAGACGCGCTGATTATCTAAGGGAACTATTACACTGGTCGAGTCTACCTCACAGATGTGAGGGGAACTAACTCCTAATAATCCTTTTACTGCTTCGAGTGCTTGTTTTTTTTTCTTCGACTTTTTAACGTCCTATAATCAGATCGTGACCTCGATTGTGACACCGGCTCCTGGCCGCGAAAAGCTAGACAAAAAACAGCCAAATGTGAAATAAAAAATTAATAATTGGTATGCTCTACGAAAGTGTTTCGGCTGACTGGCATAACATGCCATTGTAGTACTGACATCTCTGCTTCTTTCCTTGGTGTTCGTGTGTTCAAATCTAAAGTTAAATTTAAGGTTAGTTAGAATAGATATTTAATGAAATACTTTCCCGACTATTTTAGCGGTTGAACATGCATACAACATGAATTCAGGATTTGTTTTTATTCACAACTCAGAGTTGCCGCCTCCAGTGCAAGTAAGATTCTTGTGACTTGTGTGAGTGTGATATCTCCAGGCCCTATCTGGTCCCATTTCACTTTGATTACCCTGTCAAACAAGTCAGCCTTCGCCCCTGAGGGTACCAATAACAACACAAAGTTATAACTACAAAGTGTTTGTCAGTAAATGCAATTAGAAAGAAAACAAGCAACATACAAAAATAAGTTCTTCGCTGATTGGCTAATCAATTTGGTGAATTAAAAACTTGAATTATATGCACATTAGTGAAGAAAAATTCCCCTCAAGGAATTGTCCTCATTAGTAGACAGGTGGACAGGGGACTGGGTTATTATTGGGCAGTACAGACTTATTTTCCTCACAAAGACTCCCGTTATAGTACTGGTGAGATGGGCATTCACACACATATCCTGTGTCACTCAACAAACACTGAAAACCTTGAGCACACTCATTAGTCATGCTTGGATCACACGGCTCATTGTGCTGTTTCCCTGTTGATATTTGTGACAGTTCTTTTGTGAAATGGTGACAACAGAGAGGAGTTTTGGTACAAAGTGTAACAAAGTATACTGACAACAGACGCACTCTGGTGGGCAGCTATAAATAGGTATCACGACCCTATACCTAAATACAATAGGACGTTTGCCTCACATATTCGACTTCATTAGCTTATTTGTTTAAGTTAGAGTTTTATGGCACTTGCAACACAATAAGGTCATTCAAGTGCCAAAGATTAGAGGTGTTACAAGAGAGTAACGGACACAAGGAACAAGGAGGAGAGATAAGGACGATAGATGTTTACTAGGAAAGAAAGAGCAAACTACACATAGCACCCGACAACCACACACTAACTAGCTTAAAACCTATAGGAAACGTCTGACTCTTGAGAGCCAAAGCCTGCAGCACAGATCACAGAAGCAAGCTGTCTACATTCAGTTCATGTAGTTCGCCATAAATTCAACCCCGTAAACAGCGCACATACAAGTAAAAACATGGGTTAGATTCAAGAGTTGAAAAACTGCTCCAACACGACCAACCCAAGTGGGTGGAAGGCGAGGATACCGGAACTAAAGATTTATTTTGGTAGCCTCGGTGGAAGGCCATAGCAACTTCCAAACTCAGCAAAGTTCAACAGGATGACTTGGTGTGCACCAGTGCATGAAAGCATATGATTGTATACGCAAACATGCAAAAAAACTACACAGGAAAATTCAAAGGCGTGATAACACACATACTCATTTCATTAAAAAAATATATAAATCTATGTATTTCCACTAAGGTTCAAAAAGGGAGAGGTAAGTCAGATTCCGAAAAATTTGAACCTTCAAGGAAAGGGGAAGAGAGGACTTGTTTTGTTTTAGTAAGACTTTTACGGCACTTGCAAAACATTTAGGTCATAAAAGTGCGGCAGATTAGTGGTGTTACGAGAGAGTAACATACGTGTACATAGAAAAGAAGAGGCAGAGATAAGGATGATAGACCTTCGAGGAAAGAAGAAGTGAGGACTGTAAAGGGGGAGACAGAGGCAGCATGTCGACAAGAGGCTTAAAAATTATAATTTTATATATATATATATATATATATATATATATATATATATATATATATATATATATATATATAAAGAGAGAGAGAGAGAGAGAGAGAGAGAGAGAGAGAGAGAGAGAGAGAGAGAGAGAGAGAGAGATCTGTATTTATATATAGGGGCCTATATAATATGTTCTGCTAAATAGTGACATAAGAGACAAGATAGGAAAGATTTGGTTGATGATTTTTGCGAAGAGAATTACAAAGAGCATCAATTGACAGTATCTATGAGTGTCAGAATGTGTGCGAACATTTGTGCAAACCTGTCCCCTTGTACACTTTCTCACAACATACAGGAACCAAGAGAAGAGAAGAAAAAAAAACAGCAAAAAAAAGAAAAGGGAAAAAAGAGAGAAAAGAGACAATATTCAGGATCAGGAATAAAACTTGAGAGTCTGATATGACAGTACAATGGTAAATGATTTGCAGACATCACAAGCTTCAATTTACAACATAGAAATAATATTTGAAGACAAAGGTAGGGGGTGCATTAGGGTGACACCTCTGAAGTAGACGTCGTGAGCTCAAACAACATGACGGCATTG